CATTCAAGAATAATTTTTGACCAAGAATATTCCCATTTCCCTCTTGGAAGTTTCAATCCCCGGCAAAGGCATATTGTATGGTGCCTGCCCTTATTTCAGACGAGACATGGAAAAAAAGAAAAAAGAAATACGAAGCATAATCACCCCGTAAAGAACTGCAACCCTATGTTCTCCTAGCAGCCTCAATATATAAATCATAACTAGGAAAGGAAAATAGTTCAAGATGAAAATTTACTAATTGATTTGATATCTGTTTAAAGGGAGACCGTAAAAAATTTACTAGAAAGAAATTACATTTTAGTAGAAAATCTATATTTTTTAAAGCACACTAAAAAATAAGAATCTGTATTGAATAAACAGTAAGTTTAATCCATGTAATATCTTCTTGAGCTAGTTCCTTAGTGCATGTTTCTATCCCTTCAATTAACCGCGATAAAGCAGATGTAGTGAGCGTGGGTATGGGAGTGGAAATTTTAACCAGTGGACATTAAAAAAAAGGGTATTCACTAACTTAAAGGTCACTGTTGCACAAATGATGTACCAAAAATTACAGTTTGCTATTCCAACTAGTGGCAAATACCATGCAGTTAATAAGCACTAAACTGCAAGTTATTTACAAGAGAATACACCGCAATGGTAGGAGAAGAACATTTTCAAATTGCTCTTTTAGGAGAATGACAACACAACAGCATGATGACAGGAGAATCCATGCCCCCACAATATCGTGGTGTCGGCCACAACTAAATATTCTAACTTTAGTACCCAATCCAAGTATGGGAATGAATGCGGTAAGCAGTTTGAAATTTTGTTCAGAATTTTCCTTTTCAACTCCTAGCTGGGCCAAACTTGGTCCAACGAGGCTAACATATTCTTTTAACAACCTGAAGTTAGAAACTCGTTGGCACAGCCGCAAGGCCTATTGGTTGGTACTTGACCGTGTTCAAAGCTGTTCATCCAATTCTTATCCCTGATACTTGTCTTTGTATGGCTAATGTGTTAAATTCAACACCATATGTTATCCAATTTATAAATGCAACATATGCTTTATCAACTCGAGAAAATTTCCAATCAGGCTTTAAATTTTTTACTTGATTATCACGTAACAACTACCGAACAACACAATAAATAACTAATTAAGGCAGTCAAAAATCTTATGACCATAATTCATAGCAATGGCTCCCTTCTTGTATTTCAATTAAATTCAATGCCTGAGAAATCCTTTACTTTCTAGCAGTCAAAAGTTCTATATTCCAAAATGCCCTTTTGATTCCCTTCAATAATAGATTATGTTTCTGCAAATCCAAGGCAATATCTAGCCGGTGGCTTCTTTCACATCTCTAATTTATAAATTCTGTTCCAAGTTTCTTACAGATTGAAGAAAACGAGAAACCATAACAAAAGGAAAAGGGGAATGCTTCATAGAACAGTAAGGAGAACTTGATTCATGTTGGCATATTAGTCCAGTAAAAATGAATTATTGCAATCCAAAAAATCCCCTTAATGAATGCCTTTGGACCATTAAGAGCCTATGGTAACTTTCCATCAACTTGGAAGGAGGACCAGCAGCACAAGCAAAGGCCTCTTGAGGGGGAGAGTGAAGCATCCGCAGATGTCACTTTCCTTGTGAGATAGGTTGGACCAAAGGATTCCGCTATCAGTAGGAAGGTGTATCTCAATTCCAAAAGTTCCACTTTTAAGATTCCTAGAAAGTTGCACGAGTAATTGTCAACCAATCATCACCAGCAGCCCCATTAGCGTGTGGTCGACATCCTCATTGACGTGACTTGTGATATCTATCTTATTTAGGGGCCACAATTACTTACTAAACTTTTTTTTCCAAATTTGCTATTGTTCAAATGAAACGATAGATAAGGCAAAAGGCAATAGAAAATTGTCATCTTGAAATGACAGTAGGGATTGGGATTCATATTCTTCCTCCAGTGATACGTTAAAAAGATATGAAAGAAAATTTAGCAAATGGCTCAAACTCTAGCAACAAAAAATCTTCTTGATATTCTGCCCACATCAGAGGCAATTGATTTGTGTTAAGATAACAAGTAAGCAAACAGTAGAAAAACATATGTTTATATATAAATGAAGATATAGAAGTTAAGACACGGATCTTTTTCTCCTCTCAGAAAGCAACTTGGGCATGCCTCATTACTGAGAAATATAAAATTGCATACCTTTTCTCCATTAATAAAGAGCATAGGTTCCTAAAAGGTCGATACTAGCAAAATTATATAATGCAGCAGCTTACACGTCCTCTACTTCATGAGGCTCTCTATGTGCCATTCTCATCCCTTTAGCTCCTCATATTCAAGAATTTATTGCCTGGATTCTTGAGGCGAATTGACTTAAATGGAGTCTATTTGCATGATTTTATCTGCCATAGGCACATAGGTTGGGGCTATCCTAGCCCACTTGCAGCCAAAAGTTATGCATTATACCATCACCAATCCTTTAAAATCCAATACTCCAGAGGAAATTCTATTTTCATTTCCAACAGATATTTATCCTCATACAATATCACCCCAAACCCAAAAAAGGAAAGAAATAAAGAATAAATCAATTTTTCTATTTAAGTACTCCCTCAATGAGCGTATTTCCATATAAATAAATGATTTTCCTTGCCACAGGACTTTATGCAGATTTCATATTGCTTATGTACATATAACTGACAGATATTATATACAAAAAATATTATTCTAGTATAATTTGTATATGTACGCTTACATCGTGAAAGACTTGTATCTTATCTTATCGGATCTTTCATAGAGAGACGTTGATGGATTTTTTTAAAATATTACGTATAATAAAGTATTATTTCAGTATAATACACATTTTACCCATCTAAGCTGAGTAGAAGACAATCTAAGCAGCAAAGGAAAGCCATGCTTGCAATCTTCATGAACCTAAGACACCTTAGACTCTTCCCATTAAATTGGCCAATCATTGGTGATTATTTGCGTGTATGGAATTGGCATCCTCATATGGTAGTACAACAACCATAAATACGGTAGATACAGGAGAGTGGGCGAAGGTAGCATTTACTTAGATGTGACCTATGACACAAGGCCCTGTTAAAGATTCTAAGGTAATCACCAAAAGGAGAGAGCAAATTATCCAAGTGGACCACCTGGACTTTTGCATCCAGGACAAAAAAAGATTCTGTTACATCACCCATCTAGGCCGCCTATGACTAATCTTGTTATCAGGATGTATATCATTGTAGGCCATCAAAACCAAATGCAAATGCAAATGCAAGAAGATATATGAAATGTAACTTCAAACGAGATGTCCCCACAAGGGAAGTAAAATTCAAAATCATTTCTGGTTTGGAAAAGTGGCAAATTGAAATATACGGTGAGGAAAACGTATCATCTACAAATTTGTATGTCATGGTGAAAAAATCCTTACTGCTATCTGCTTAAACCATCTTTCTTGTGCTTTGATCCTTATGGCCAGCGTGACAAGAGTTCTCAGTGCTAAATGCTTAAACGATCCTTTTTTATTTAAAAAAATAATAATAATAAAATAAAAATTGCTGGTACCCCAAGTCCAGGGCCACAACAACAAGAACTCTGCTTTCAGGATACAATAAAATATGAAACAGCTCCAAATTGCTTATTATGGATTCAGAATGTGCAAGATTAGTTATAAGACCATGAGTTTCTGGGGATGATATGGATCAAAGAAAGATAGGAATTTCAGTTATTTGTTAGACTGGAAAGGATTTCATACTGAAACAGTCAACAGGCCAAAAACTAGTTGGTGGATTCATTCAGTTGGGACGTTTGTCATGCAGTTCTTAGGGAAATTTAATTGGTAGAATTATAAAAAAATGTTGAATGTGTTTAAGGTGACACAGTAAGCATTCCCCACCGGCCTCAAAGCCTCAGCAAGAAGGGATAATGCTCCATTGACCATTCCCGATAGAATTTTTTCAGAGACATAGTGGACGGAACAAGGCTTCACAAAACAACCTCAGAGGGGAATGCACCTGTTCAGCCTCCCTTTCTAAAAGACAAAACGTTTAGGAAAGAATCGGAATTGACCAAGTGTAGAGAACAAGATCGGGCCTTAAATAATTGTATAACCATTGTACGGATGCAGTCAGGATAAAAAGCTTGGCAGAATATCACCTCTAACATAGAGAACTTCGGAGTTACTTTAACAACTGAATCCTTATAGACACAAGACTGGATTTTGGCAGTCTGAGGAAAACATTTGAACTGTGAATGGAATTGGGACTACCTGATTCCCATGAAGGTGTAATTTTGAATGAAACAGGGAGGGTAATCCAAATAAAATTCACGGTGAAAGTGAAATCTTTATTCTCTTGAAGTGCCATGCTTATCCTCTGAGGATCTACTAAAAAAGTTCATTGATTAATTAAAACTCCTAATGAGAGGAGAGCAGAGCAGTCCCAATGAACCAAATTATGTGACCAATATTCAATAAGTCAAGCTGATATACCAACGATGATAACCAAAACTTGACCAATTATTTGTCCTTGCGTTGCTACTTTTAGCCTACTGCTAGTAGCCTGTTAACAAAGCAAACCTTATTAGCTAACATGGGATTTAGACAGAACAAAGAAAAAGATTTCAGTTTTTTTACTTCCCATACGGGAAGAGAAGGATTAAAAGTGCCCAGAGATACCGATTCTTGTGCTTTGTTCTTCATGTTGGTCCTGCTGCTTTTGTGGTTCTTATGGAGACAAATCACTGAATTCTACAATTCTTACGCCAACTGGCCAAGGTCCCACCTCACCCTCCTCCTCCTGGAGCCTATAAATACCAGGCATTGCAGACCTCTTTGCTTGCATCAGTTTCAACTCAAGTCTTTCCTCTTGACACATAACTGTCTTTTGCATTTCAACTCCTCCAATCTGTTTCTTCTTGACCTCCTTCTACATAGTAATCTTACTTGATACACTAGTCCTCCCTCCACCTAAATATTTTTTCTCTACTTGCACTAAAATCTCAGCCGAAGATATGGCATCAATGTCCTCCCATGGCTCTGGCTCGTGGACTGCTAAAGAGAACAAAGCCTTTGAAAAGGCCTTGGCAGTGTATGACAGGGACACGCCTGACCGGTGGTCCAACGTTGCCAGGGCTGTTGGAGGGGGAAAAACTGCAGAGGAATGTAAGAGGCATTACGAGATCCTTGTTCGTGATGTCAGGCATATCGAGGCAGGCCAGGTGCCCTTTCCATACTACCAAAACACGAACTAAGAAGAGCAAAGGTATCGTGCTTGGCCCTGGAAATATAATTATCAACTTTGTCCTGAATATTGATTTTCTTGCACACCCTTCACTTTCTCGATATATACAAGGATTAACATTCTCTGCCATACTGGCATGGACTGAAAAAGTTGAGTTATATTTTGTGTGTCTTCTACCTCTAGACGTTTAAGTTTTCTCACACCGTGTTAAGCATTGGACAGTCAAATTCTTGGAAACAGAATTATCCCTCCCAGTTTGTGTCAAAACTGGTCTCTGATGAGTTCAATTTCTACATAAATTTATTACCGTTCCACATGATGCTTATAGTCCCTAACCAATGTCAGTAACCACTTCGTACACAGTTCAATATTTCTGCAAAGCTAGTAATATTTTTTCATGATATGCAGGATGAAAGATCCAAAGCTCCCTTTATTTATTGCAATATCGAAGCAGCTATCATAACGAAGCATTTCTATTCTGCATAAGAGTCGCAGTCCGATGGTTACTGTTTCTATTTCGTGTTGTTTACGACGTAATGGATTCCTATTTAGTTCCTGAAATGCGCCTTGAAGTTTCAGGAAGTAGAATAAAGCAAGGCTTTGCATGTAGGTCCTTCGACCGTTCTCCGTAATGTTCTACGAAATGGATATGTATTGTGTGCTAAATTTTCATGTTTGCCAAATTCATATTACTATCTCAAACAATTCTCACCTTAAAATCGAAACTGAAAATGAACCAGAATTTGAAATATCAGGTTAAACAAAGCCAGACGAACAAGTTAGGTTTTGAAGGGCTCTGACCTTGATAATGAATATTTTGAGTTCTCGAATCGACTTGAGCAGTGAGAGAAACTGAGCTTCGAGAGATCAGCGAGAAACGCTGCGAACTTTGTTACACTAATGCTGAGAAAAAGAGAGGGAGTCTTGACCCCTATAGTCGGCAAAGAACACAGAGGAAGGCGGGAAAACATCTGATCGTTCAAAAAAAAATAAAAAATGACGGAACGCATTAGCTTTTTTTTTTTTTTTTTTGGATTTCATTTCATTTTCATTTTATTTTTAACGACGGAAATAATACAGCCTTAATACAACATATTATTGGGAATGTTCCTTTGGAATAAAAAAATTTGCATTTACGTCCCTCTAAAAAATTTGGGATTAAATTAAAAAAATTAAACATTAAAAATCGTAGTCCAAAAATTCAATAAATTATCACTCCCCCTAATATTTAAAATTTATTTTAAAATAAATTCATAATATTTTAATCAGCGACATTTTTATACGAATAATACTGATTTTTTTTTTATTCCAACACAATTTATTCTTTTTTTCTAAGTTAACAGTGGAAAGTCGGTTTGCTCAAAACCAAGTTCCTTTAAATAAGTCCATTAATCAATTTAAGCCAGTTCAAATCAACTTGTTATAGAATCAACAGACACATACAAAGAAAGTCTTAGAAAAAAGTATCGTAAGCATTATTCATGTTCAAAAAAAAAAATCTAATCACTCCTAATTTTACAAATAACAAAGGCTGAATAAATTCAAAAATTATTTTTTTATATATTAGACACCTAAGTCATGTGACAAGTAAGGAGAAAAGTAATATATCAAGTTATTAATTTTTAAATAAATATAATAAACATTTTACCTTTTGAATGAAATCTTAATTTTTTTAAAAAAATAATTGAATTAAAAAATATTACAGCATATTTGGATTAAAAAATTAATTTGATAAATGATAAAGCAGCCAAAAATATATTTTGAATAAGCTTGAAATCTAACTTAACAACAAAGGACATGACATGTTGATCAAAGTCAGAGATTTGAATTGTGCCCAGTTACCATTTTGCTGAAAACTCATCCCAAGTGTAAGTGATGGGAGTGTTTCTTCAAGAATGGCCCCTACAACTTTCTGTGTCTACCAAAACAAATAGATTCTAACAGTCAATCATAGTTATAGACAAAGGTAGTATGGATAGATTTCTATTTGTAATGATTGTACCATTTTCAATGACTTTAGGGTTTGTGGATTTCTAATTTTTTAAATAATTTTTTAGGCTTTTCTATAATTTGGGGTTGGTGGTCTATCGATTAATTAATTAATTAATAGAGTTAAGATATTAATTAAAAATTAATTTTATACATCTCATGAGTTATTAATTAATTAAGAATGAATCAAACGGTTGGTTTAAAGGATGGTTTATATTTTTCTCTAATGTTTATAGGAAAAAAAAATGAGAATAATGTTTTTATGAAGTTTAAGAAATGAGAAAATTAGAAAAATTTTATTTAATTCATAAATTTTTTGAAAAATGAAAAAAAAATAGAAGCCCACTTGAATGAATCTCATGTAAAAAATAGTCAGTGTGTAATTTGAGTTTTTCTTTCGACTAAAAATACTCTATTTATGTTTTTAATAAACAGAAAAATATTTCTAAAACATACATGGCATAGATTACGAGAACAAATTTCTGAAATTAATTGGAATTAAAATGACACCGACAATTTAAAAATAAATAATAAGTAAAAAAATGTATCTTACTCTCACATGCATGGTTATTGAATTTGTGCGGGAGTTTACAAGTTGTCAATCATAACCTGTTGTTCATCCGTCATGTCCGGCTGAGCCCGGCCCCTCGCCGGTGGTCGTCCTTTTAGAACGAATGGTTCCACCGCCAGAGACAGTCTTGGCCTTGTCATTGAGAGGTTGACAGTCCACTCAAACTAAAGGCTTCTAAAGACGCAGACTACCTACGCTTCATTACAACCGTACAAATCGAACAAATCAAGTACGTGTGCAGTGTATGGTTAACATCCAAAGTTTCTAGAATTTTTTAGCAATTAAGTTTTTTCTAGCTCTTGAAAATGAAATGACGTTTCAGCATTTAAGCGTGGGCCGACATGGGACTTGGGAAAACCTAGACCTCACCTCTACGCTTCCTCCACTTCGCCTCCTCAAAAAGTTGAGGGTTTTCGCGAGGAAGTTTATAAAAGACTAAGCGCCTACCTTCCCTACCTTAAGGACAATTTTGTCCGAAAATGGCACATGGCTTGAAGCACTATAAATAATGCTTCAAGGATGGACAAGTTTATATTAATATTAATAAATTTTTTGTTTTATTAAAATATATTTTTTTAAAAATTTATTTATCAGAATATACTAAATATTGTTCACATTGTGAAATTAGGCTTAATTTCAATAGAAAAATTGATTTTTTAAAACTAATTTCTTTTGAAAAATCAAGGGAACCAATTTCCTAATTTCAGGGAGTACTGTATCGACAACTCTATTGCTCAAAGTTTTATCAGCTCTCAAACAAAGTCTTGAGAGCTCTTGTTGGACAATGACAGAGCTCCAATCGTCCAATGGGAGTTATGTGACAAAGCACTGTTTGGAGCTCTACAAAATCCCATTGCTTTTCTTTATTAAAAATAAAATTAGTCTTTAATAGCCTTTCTACTAGAAACTCTATATTAATGGGCTTATTTGTGCGAGTTACTATTTTTAAACAAATAGCAATAATTAAAAAACTACTGAAAGTATTGAAAATATTTGTAAATTTATTGAATATTAGCATAAGTTGATAAATTGTACTGGACAATTTCCAAAAGCAACCGAAATCAAAGCTCACATCGATTCCCTAACTTGATCAAAAGGCTTCAAATCTGAAGCTAGTGAAGTAGTTTTCTTGGAACAATTTGAGAAAACACTTGTCAAAATTATCAAAAGCTCTTGCAAACTCAAAACAGAACCTCATGGCAATTCTCTTCAAAATTCCAAGCAAAACATAGAAATCTTTGAAATTTTCTCAAGAGATTTGGTAGAAGACCTAATTTTGCTCATTTATAAGTAATTTTCAGTGGTGGATTTGCACTGATTAAGCTCGAATTGTCCAGATCTTCCAGTTGGTTGCCAATTGGAAGTTTTTTAGGTTTTCAATTTTAACCCCTCTTATTTTTATTTCTTTCCAGATTACCCTAACTTGTTTCGATTTCAATCCCTGATTTCCTGCACCTCTGTCACTTCAATCCTTCCTTATTGTTTTCTTTCAATTTGACCATTGATAGTTTCAAAATAGAACCATAACTTTACAGATTTCTTGTTTAGACCCCTAGTTGTCTTAATTTATGCAATCAAATCCTTGGCCCTTTTCAATGAACCCAAGATTCATCCAATTTGTTTAGTTAGGTCTTCAATACCATAATTCAATTAATTCTTAGTTAAATTTTTTTAAAAAAAAATTAGGGTTATTAAATTCTTTCCCCCTAACAAAAATTTGGTTCTTGAATTTTCAAAATAGGTAATTACATCATACAATAACACAAGTAGAGATATCTCCTACGCATAGTCACCTCGGACTCCCATATAGCTTCTTTCAAGTTCTGATTTCTCCACAACACTTTTACAGACGCCACCTTCTTCGATTGGAGCTTCTTCACTTGTCTATTCAAAACAGCCACAAGTTCCTCCTTATATGACAAATCTCACTCCAACTAAACATCTTGTGGGTGTTATTACATGTAACGGATCAAACAAGTGCTTTCTCAGCATGGAAACATGAAGTATGAAGTGTACCATAGACAAATCCGGAAGAAGTGCTAAACGATAGGTTACTGCAAAATCACTTAAGGCCGGTTCAATCTAAAAGAGCCCGGTTTGTAGAATTAGGAACCGGTCCTAATCACCCTAACCAGACTGGATCAGCCCTTGAACTGGTCTGCCCCGTCACCTAATCGGGTTGGACCAGCCCGATTGGGCCAAGATGGACTATTTTCCACTCGGAAACTTGGGTATCTGACCTAGTTTCCTACAAATTATACCCAACAGTTTCCAAAAGCAAATTTAACCAAAATCAAAGCTCACCTTGATTCCCTAACCCAATCAAAGTTTGCAAACTTCAAATCCAAAGCTAGGGAAGTAGTATTCTGGAAACAATTTGAGAAAACACTAGTCAAAATCATCAAAATCTCTAACAAACCCGAAACAAAACCCAACAACAATTCTCTTTAAAATTCCAAGAAAAACATAGAAATCTTTCAAATTTTCTCGAAGGGTTTGGTAGAATACCTAATTTTGCTCATTTATAAGCAGATTTTAGCAATGGATTTACACTGATTAAGCTCGAATTGCCTAAATCTTCTAGTCGATTGTCGACTGGTAGTTTTCTGGGTTTTTAATTTCAACCCCTCTTATTTTATTTTATTCTAGATTACCCTAACCTCTTTCTATTTCAATCCTTGATTTCCTACGCCTCTTTCACTTAGGTCATTCTTCTTTATTTTCTTTCAATTTGACTCTTGATAGTCTCAAAATAGAACCATACCTTTACCGATTTCTTGTTTAGACCCCCAATTGTCTTAATTTATGCAATTAAATCCCTTGCTCGTTTCAATTAACTCCAAATTCATCCAATATGTTTAATTAGATCCTTAACAACATAATTAAAATAATTTTTAGTAAAATTTAAAAACAAAAAATGGAAATTATTACATATATTTAAATATTGACTAAGAGAATAAGTGTTATAAATCTAATATTTATAAAAAGAATGATCTTTTTTATATATTTTTAAAAAGTATAATTTTAAAATTTAAACTTTTTTACAAGTAAAATACAATTTGTCCTAAAAATAATAAGACCTTTGTCAATGCTTGAAATGTAAAACAACCATACTTGTGAATATTAAAAAAATTCCATTTTTAGTAGTTTAATTTTCAATTCTTTATAGAAATATTTATAAAAATAAGTCAAATCGAAAATAAGTGGACCAATAAGTTTAAAAAAGGTTATCTAAAGCGCTTGGCAAAGGCACATTTAGTCTTCTTTGTTGCTCTTACTCTTGCGAAAACAACAAAATCAAATGGTTAATTAGAACATTTTAGCAATTATGTCATTAAATTTCATCCGTTCCAAAAGCAAAAGGCTACAAACTAACTATGCCAAATGCTGCACATTTTGTTGGAATTGCTTATGCAAGCACAGAGTAGCTTTCATATTTGGCTATGTAAAAGAAAATTCACATTTCATTAGCGAAAAGGCCATCCAAGAAAAGGATAGTTCACAGAAACCAATCTTCAAAGCAAGCACTAGCCAAATGAAACAGTGAAATAACTAATTCCTCTCCAGAAAATACATCTTTACAGCTTCTCTTCTTCAATTCAGCATTCACAAACTGGGATCATAAGCTTGGCTTACCCACCTTATTAGCAATAACATAGGATTAAAGCAATGGCCAATTATTTTGTTGACAGGTAGAGCTTAAATGTAATGTAAATCGACCTTCATGTTATGTGTTTATTTGGGTCATTTTCCTGTTCCAGCTAAACTCAGCATCACATGCCCCAGACAAACAGAACCACAGACTTGAAATGACAATAATTTCAATGCCAATTGAAGAACATCATAAATTACTAAACTGTAACAAGCATATTCTTCATAATCAAAGCTCTTTACGTAGCATAGTCTTTCCATTCTCAGCCAACTTAGACGGGCAAAACTGAACTGAACATATCATGTAGTTCTCTAGTGTATGACAGTACACCGTAATCTAACACCAGTAATACTGAGAAAATGGATCCGTAAATCTACTGGTCAGCCAAGGTAGTTTGAAGGGGTAGAGCACTTTCCACCTCCTTGGTCTCAGAGCTCCTTTCCGCAACAACTTTCGACATTCCAAACATCTGAGAAAACAACCATAGTATTTCAAGCATCAAATATGGAAGGTTACTATATATGAATTATAAATTTGTAGGCCAAGGAAAAATATTACACGTTTTAAGGGAATTTCCATGGATAAATTAGTAATTTAGCACAGAAGTTGGAAGCAACCTTTTGGATTGTCTTCTTGAAGCAGGCCTTGTGTTCATCCATAGATGCATGAATAAACTCGTCAATGTGGTCGCGCAAATCCTCCATAAAAGTAGCATCATCAGACTTCTTCTTTCGGCATGAAGTGATGGTAGGTTTTGCAGCAGCAGATGATAGTTGTTTCTCTGGTTGACTATTTTCTGTTGCCATTCTCAGTATAAAACAGCCTCAAAAAAGTTCAGGCATAATCAGCTGTAGAACATTCTATGGAAAGGCAGGAATATGTTCATTTGACCAATAAGATCACTCTTATACATGCTAATACTGTATATTATAAACACAAATGTATCAGACAATCCAAGTAAATGAGAGCACCGGTAAATCATGAATGAAAGGAACTGACCACAATTATATTAGATGCACCTAACATGACATGAAAACAGTTTAAATGTCATAAGTGGTACATATCATACTAGAAAGTTATTTTTGCTCCATGAGAATGAAAATTTATAAAGAACAGCTTCAGTATTTCCTTAGTTATTCAAGTTACCTGATAGGATAGTTAAAAAATTAAAACCAACAACGGGCACAAAGTATCTTAGCAAAGGATTCAAAACATCTTGATAATTGAGAAGTATGTCTCTTCAGGTGTAGCTTAGTTTTATCAGTGCCTGTCCTCTATTCCATCTTATCCTGTTTCTTCTCAATCATCTCATGCCCATTAATTGAAGGAAAGAAACCGAGAGGCAAAAGAAAAGGTGAAGATCACGTTCTTGAATATCAGGAAAGAACTTCAATTACAACCGTCCATACACATGAAGAGATGTGTGCTTCCTTATGAGTGTTTAAGAGGCTGATGAAATACACCATTAAGGATTGTCTCTACTTTAGAGTCACCATTGCCTTAACACTGTCACAGGATGCAGTCAGAATAGAAAATTTGTAGTGAAGGTTTGATTTTTGTTAAGCTACTCAACAACCTATAGATAAGATTTTTACAGCCAACTAGAAGATAGATCTAACCAGGTCTAGGATAATATGATTGGCATCTATTCTCTGTTCTATTTTGTTCTGTTTCCTCTCAACCATCATTCCTCCAGCAAAACTTAAAAGAAAAATAAGGCAAAAAAAAGTAAGCATACTCGTTCCATTCTCAGCCAACTAATCCTACAAGTATGCAGAAATTCATGTGTCCCGTTGAAATGTTTAACAGACTTATACAATAGAAATACCACCAGTTAAGAGTTGTCTCTGTTTTGTAGTTTTATTTTATCGACACCCCAGTCAACAGCTTACATGAAATTTACGGCTAACACCATTCAGTAGCTCAGGTAACCGATTATGCGATAATAAGCATGTGAAATCAGCAAGCCAATCCATTGTAAAGAACCTCCCAAAAGATTACCAACTTGGTTCTTTAGCTTTTATCCCTCGTCAACAAACCGTAAATAGTCCACACCATCACACCCACATGCTTAAGTCCTTAATAAAGATATTTATATATCCTAAACAGTATATGCCTTTAAGCACAAAATATTAACGCATCAGCTCGGTTCAAACTATTACCGAAAGCAAATGAAAAAGTATAATTTGCATTTAAATTACACAAAAATATCATCCCAATTGTCCATAAAGTGCTCGATAAAATGCCTCAAAGAAAATGACTACAGAACTTGCTATATGAACACAATAAGCCTTCCATCCCCTTGAAGAAAACACCAAGATAGACCAAACTCAACTGAATATAAAGAATAGAAACGGAAAATAATTTGTGTATCCAAGTGGCTAACAGATTAAGAAGTTCTATTTCGATCTTAATATCACGCAAATCACTTAGAAAAATTAAAGAAACAGGTGGAGGTAAAGTTTCATTAAATCAAATTTAGTTGCAGCGAAAAGTCGAAAAGATTTAAAGATAATTCGACGTAATCACAGAACATTTGAACCAAATTAGGATTAGGCGTACCTCAATTGCAGCTGAACCAAGGATGTTTCAGCAGTTTCCCACTCTTCTGTACATACATAACATACGAATCTATATTTATAGAAAACTTTCTCCGCGAAAGCGCTAGAAAGCGCTGTGATAGTGTGTATTTGAAAGACAACGCAGAGAAACCGCCCTCGTTCTCCGTTCAATGCAACCCACTAGACCGTCGAAACACAATGGAATAACCACTCATTTAGTGACACGTTTTGAGTTCTGGATATGATTGGCGCGTCTGATTGTCGCTCCTTTGCCTTGGGAGGCAAGCAGGAAAAGAACCGGTGGGCGGTAGCCGAAACCGCAGCCCACACGCAAGGTCTGTCCGTCTGACAGTGGAATATCGATTTTCTTTTTCTTTTCTCCGAGAAATATAAATAATTTATTTGCTCATCACATACTCACAGCGACATTTTAGAAATTAGTGCATTTTTTAAAAATTTTTGGAGAAGAAAAAACGGGTTATATCAATAATATATATTTTTTAATTGTTAAAATAAGTAAATTTGTAAAAATTATTAGAATATATAAATCTTTGACCAATTGAGAAATCAATTTGGTGAAAAAGTAGACTCAATGTAAACCAATTTCTGTACAGAAAAAACTGATTTTGTCATGTCTCAACTCGACAGATAACCAGTCTTAAGGTTGTCCTATTTGTACTAATAAATCTCAAACACGCATAGTTTAGACAGAAGCAAATTATTCAGGATTAATTTAATTTAAATAAAATAGTTAACAATAAACTCATTAAAATTACAAGTTAAAATCATGTCTAAGTAATACATAGAACTATTAGAATACAAGGAAAAAATGTACAAAAATGCCTGTGCCAATAGCAGACATAGAAATAACTAATACCCGTTCGCTCAAAGTGCACTGGTGCCTGATAAGACTACGATTTAGAAATAAAAAAAATGAGTGAGTATAAACCCAATAAATGATAAAACTATTCTATCATACAGAGACATGCATTGTAGCGTAGAATATAGATCTTATGCCTAAAATATCAAAAACATAATTTATGAGAACATAGATCCATAGGCAACCACATGTCAGAGTGACAGAACTTACCACAAATCTCCTTTGATGACAATAGTAACATGTTGGAGGTACCAGAATCAGGTAGTACACGGATCACATATCACCTCTCACATACAGGGATCCCATAGCAGAGTTAGCATCAAATCACAGAAGGCACATAATATCGAAACACCATCATATTCATCAAATTCAAAAATCAAGATGCTCTCGACATGTAGGTTTAAAAAAACATAAGTACGTGTATATGTATATGTATATATATATGTATATATGTATGTATGTGTCTAACAGAGGCATTTCATTTAACATTAAATATTCCACGAACTTTAACAAATATAACACAATGCATGTCCCAGCTAAATTTTTGAAATAAAAAATCAGAATTTTGACAAGTGAGGGGGCGACAAAAATTTAAACACACATAAAGAACAACCATATCACTCACTGTGCACGTCAAAACGGGGACCTTGAAGTTTTAAGTGATGGCTCACAAGGCAAAACACATCTCCTCAAATGTATCTAAAATCACCACAAAAATATAAAAATAGAACCATGGTCAGAACCCCACCCGAGGAGACTTAATTACTGAACAGCCTCACTCACACATCCTAAGACAACACCCTCGTCCTCATAACCTAGGACTAGCCATCGCCTACCCCATCCTATATAAAAACCTTAAACTCAAGGTGGGTCGAAATCGGCCTCCATTTCACATGAATCAACTTAGACCCAGCCTCTAATACCTATGAACTGACCTCTAAAACACTAAACTGGTCAACATTCCCATAAAACCACATTGAACTACCCACAATTGCCTTAAAACCAAGTCAAACCGACCATGATACCCATGAAACTGGGCTGAACTGGCTTCAAATCAAGGGGAACTAAATTGAATCGGCTAAAAACCTTATAAATCTGGACTGAACCGGCCTTGTTTGTCACAGAACCGGAATGACCCTTATTCAATCACTTCAATTTTGGCCTAAACCAGCCCTTAAAGCACTGAACTGGCAGCTATACCACCAAAACCGACTGGTTCAGCTACCATACTACTAAATTCCCAACGAACCAGTGTTTTCCCGGAACCCCTAATTGGCTCAATTCAATCTACAGTCTCTGGATGCCAAAACCAGCCTAATCTCCTTGAAAGGAGTCAAAAATCCCGTCGAGCAAGTTGGACTTAGCCCAGCTGAGCTGAACTGGCCAGCTACCCCAAGACAGACTTAGAATACATCCGAGTCTATCTTCCTCGCCTAGAAACCCAGGTCCTGACCCAGGTTCTGTAGCCAAAACCTAACTCCTTTGTAATCCAAAATTCAAGCAATCTGGTGCTTAACTAGATTGATTAAGGGCTGGAACATGTAGGACCAACCCCGATGAGATGATCCTCAAGCCAATTTGAAGGAAAAACAACTAAAAACTCCTAATTTTTACAGATGTGTCACGACCTGGGCATCGGATCCGTGACCGGCGCTAAGGTTAGAACGAATTCCAACCCAGCAAGCTTATCAAACACGAAACTGAAAATTTCATAAATAATCATAATTTCTAAATCAAAATCTGAAATACGAAATAATCATCAAAACATGTCTCTACACTGAAAACCTGTCTGTGATCTCAGAGCTTAACTAAAAGAAACGAAACAATACATCAAAATGAAATAGAAACTAACTACTATCTCGAGAACTGAATCAGATAATCAAGATCGATCGACTCCTATCATGCAGCAGGCTCCGTCGGTAGAGTCGAACCTGAGTCTAAAAAATAAAAGAATGAGTCTATTGACCCAGTGAATAATAATACATATTTACATGCGAGAGACGTATATCAAACTTTATTGTCTCAAAGCATAAATTTCAATTCATACAAGTTAGGGAGTTCGACGCTGAGAACCATACAGAAACAGGACGGCAAACTCATCGTATGCCGATACACAAATATAAGGACGGTGACTCAAAGTCTGCCGTAAATCAATAAACAGGCCTACCACGTCAGCCACACGTGATAGTCTAGCACCACCCCTGCTAGCTGGGGATACAAGCCAATGTGCACTCAATCTAACGCCTACTGCCGTTAGTTACAGTGTTCTTACAGTTCGACACTCCCTTAAAATCAATTATCAGAGTTTAACAGAATAAGTTAACAGTTATCAAGTTGTCTAAAGTATGTCAGTGTTCGAAATCAG